CATTTGCTCATCTCATAAGTTGAAAGTTTGTGGTTGTATCAGTTCCATATTTATCGAGAAAGATATCATTTTTAAAAGTCGGTTTTTTGAAGTTCGTTTTGATAAAACCTACCTATAATTTGTTCTTTGTCTTGATCGATTAATTCATATGTCGGAGGTGATGTGGTGTTTACTTTATCAATGTATATTTCGTTTGTCCAGTATCCAACGTAACCTTTTTAGACTTTGCTTTTATATTTGAAAATACGAACTCGATCTCCGACTTTAAATTTGGGTTTGATATTTAAATTCTTTATTTCATTTTCGTAGTTATGTTGTGGGTTAATTGACTTTATAATATTTGGATTACTCGAGGCTTGTGTTGGTGTGACACCTATAGATGAATGAATTTTGTTATTGTATTCATCTACAACCTCTGGTAATATTTTAAGCCATTTTTGAGATTTCAATTTCGATGTAATTTTTGAATAATTTATTTTTTAGAGTTCTATTATATCTCTCAATAACTACAGCTTTTCCTTCATTATGCGTGCTGTAAATTTCAAATCCCAGAAATTTCATATTTTTGTTATAAAATTCACTTCCTTTATCTACCCACAGTTTTTCTGGATGTCGGTTAGATTGTTTCATAATCGTTTCAAATGTGTGTTTGACTGATAATCCTGTTTTGTTTTTCAAAAGAATAACCCAAGCATATCTCGTAGACAAATCTATAACTGTTAAGCAATATTTAAATCCTCTTTCGACTGGCATATTAATTAAATCGGCTGACCATATTTCATCTTTTTCAAATACTTTAACTTTTAAAAAGTTTTTAGTTTTTCTAAATTCTTTATGAATTTCATCCGCTAATCCCATGCCCAATTTCATCTTTGCTTTTAACAGTTTTATGATCTGAGCCCTTTGCATTCTCTCTTTGAAAGTTGGATTTGGAATATTTGCAAGTTCGATTATCATTTGTCTGTCTGCTTCGTGTCTGAGGTTTATGTCTTTATTTCTGTATAGTATGTCGTGTTTAATCGCAGCGGCGTCAACTCTATTGACTGGTTTTTCCCCCGGTTTGGGTTTATCGTTTTCTTCAAATCGCAGATCTAACCTAGTACCTGGACCGGTGTAATTATGACTGAAAAGATGTTTTTCTCCGGGATATTTCGCCCATGGAAATCCAGGAAGAGAACCCAATCATTTTTGTATATCTCCTGAACCAAAATAAGGTTTAGGATTGTGAGCGATAATCATTTCTATCCTATAACTTTAAAACCTTTTCCTTTACTTTCTTCTAATCTCCTGTTTCGCAGATCTCTTATTAGTTGTAATTCTTTCAACTCGTTAGATTGTTTCACTGTGTCTCTTATACTCTTTCCCGCTTGCGCGATTGAGCCGACGGCTTTCGTCCCGGATGAAATAAGTGATTTGTTGTTTGAAACAAAGCTAGCTACTTTTGGAATTATTGTTTTACCTAGAGAAAATATTGATGAAAAGATACCGTCGCGCTAATAATCTTCGAATTTTTGTTGTTCGTGTTTTAGAATTAAACTCATCCTATTTTTAAATGAATTAATTTAACGAAGAAATTGTGGTCTGTTTAAAAAGAGTTATCTCCCTTCTAGAAGTTTCTAGACTAAAAATAACATTACTTAAAACGAGGCTATTAAAAAAACCGGATGTTATGTTATTTTATATAAGGGTATTTTTAATATGCTTTTTTGATGGAATGTAGGAATTGATTGAAGGTGTTTTTGGTGTAAGAAATGTAGGGTGTATAGGTGTAAGAATTTATGAAATGTAGGGTTTTTAGGTCTTTTTGGGGAGGGAATTGATGGAATTTAGGGTGTTTAGGTCGTTTTCAATTTGGTCGCATTTTCCCCATGAAATGAAATGGGTTATGGTATACTAGTAGTTGAAAAAAGTGAAAACAGAACCAAAAAATATTGAAAAATAAAAAAATTATGCAATATTTAAGTTCTTTAAAAATTGTTCTCTTTTTTGTTGAAATACAACCTGATAGCATTACTTGGGTCATTTTTGATGATGACTTCTTGAAATTCTAAATGGGAAAATATTAATATCTCCTCTCGTTGATAAACTTTACAGAATAAAAATAGTCTTTGAGGTATTCCATGATGAATGGAGTAAATTTCCTCACACTCATTTTATAAGTGATTTAATGAACAAGTCATTAGAAGATTCAAGATGGTTTCCTTGTTTTTTAGTGTCAAATTAAGCAATCTATCTGA